TGTGCAACATCTGTAATGTCCGTGCTTTCATCAATTGCAACCGCAAACGCAATAAATGACTTTACTTTTTGCTTCAACTGGCTGTCCAAATCCACTGAAAGATCGGAAATCCTGTCTGCAACTGTGTTTCTTGTCAGGCTGATATTTTCAAAAGCCTGCCGCTTTTCAGGGCACACAATCTCCGCTGCCTTCATCATGCATGTTTTTACAAATTCACCCTCACTAAATGGTTTTGAAGCCACTGCGATTTCATTAGCAATGAGGTAGCTAGCTTTCACTGCAGCGTCACTGATGTCTCGGCTGTGAGTAAACACAGACTGCTGTTTCTTCAGACCCGCCAACAGTTCATTCACCTTCTCTCATCTCCGCTGTCCTTGAAAGTTGTCATATTTGTCGGCATGAAGACTCACATAGTGGCGACGAAGGTTATATTCTTTCAGCACTGCAACATGCTCTGAACACACCAAACATACAGCTTTCCCATTCAATTCCGTGAATAAATAGGATGACAATTTTTCTTGGAACACTCTGCACTCTGTGTCCACTTTTCTCTTTTTTGACAGAGACATATTGGGGCAATGAGGGTGCCAAAGCACATAATGTTAAAAGTAGAAGCCGTAATAAATATCGCGGGCAAAACAAAGTAGCTCATTGGCTGCACGTGCTTGACCTACTTGCTCTGCCCCGGTATAAACAGTTTGCTTGCTTAACACAATTGCTATTGCGCCATCCAGTGGACGCAATTGGAACAGCAGTTTATTTTATTGAAAAATTGCAGCGCATTTTTATACTTTACAAAAAAAAAATTTTTATTTTATTTTTATTTTTATTTTTTCCAAAATCATCTCGCGGGCCGGATTAAACCCGTTTGCGGGCCTGATTCGGCCCGCGGGCCGGACGTTTGACACCCCTGCTGTAACTCCTTATTTCAAATTTCAGTGAGCTCACTGGCTTTGGGTGGTAACATGTAGAGTGTGGAATCATCCACATACAAGGCAACTGCCCCGAGGGACACTGCACTGTACATACCTGATGTTAGAGAAGCCTCCATTGAAAAACACTCCCTGGGTTCTGTTGGATAAATAACTCTCCAACTATGTGATGGCAGGTGATGTAAAGCCATAGTAAGTGAGTTTTTTTCAATAACAAACTGATAACAAAACTGACAAACTGTGGTCTCAGGGCACCATTGAAAATTAGACCATGGTCTCAATTGGGCTCACATTGATTGAATAAAAGTTAATAATAACAATTTATGATCAATAACATCAAAGGCTGCCCTGAAATCTAACAATATAGGTCCAACTATCATCTTATTATCCATTTATTTTAACCAATCATCAGTCATCTGAGTCGGTGGCCTTCTTTATATGCATGCTGAAAGTCGGTGGTTAACTTGTTCTCTCTGGGAAAAAAAGCATTGTATTTGGTCAAGCACAATCCTCTCCATCAGTTTACTAAGAACAGGCAGTAAACTGATTGGGCAGCTGTTAGAGCCAGCAAAGGGCGCTTTACTATTGTTAGGTAGTGGAATTACTTTAGCTTCCTTGCACGCCTGTGGACACACACACTCCTTTAGGCTTTGGTTAAAGACATAGCAAATAGGGCTGGCAATACAGTCTGCTACCATTCTCAATAGTTTCCCCATCAAGGTTGTCTGTACCTGGTGGCTTATCATTATTGATGGATAACAATAGTTTTTCCACCTCTCCAACACTAACTTGACCAAATTCAAAACAGCAATCCTTCTCTTTCATTAGTAGATATTTTATACAAAAATATGATTGTTCACTGTTCAATGTTGTTTTTCCACTTTACTAGTCAAATAGTAATGCAAATGATTGGCAATATCGAAAGTGTTTGTTATAAATGACCCATCATCTTCAATGAAGGATGTAGATGAATTAGTCTTTCTGCCCATTATATAATTGAAGATATTCCAAAGTCTTTTTCCGTTGTGTTTTATGTCATGTATCTTGGTTTGGCAATATAACTTATTGTTATTTTTCTTAAGTTTAGTCACAACATTTCTCAATTTACAGTATGTCAACCAATCAGCTGAGCAGCCTGACTTACTTGCCATCTCTTTTGCATAATTTATTTGAACCATAAAATGTTTCAATTCATCATCGATCCAGACGGCTCTAACAGTTCTCAAAGTTAGCTTCGTAACAGGTGCATGCTGGTCAACAATTCTCATGAATAATTGTACAAATACTTCCAGTGCTGCATCTGGATTCACTTCCTCATACACATCAGACCAATATACGTACACTACCAGTCAAAAGTTTTAGAACACCTACTAATTAAGGATTTTTCTTTATTTTTACTATTTTCTACATTGTAGAATAATAGTGAAGACATCAAAACTATAAATAAAACATATGGAATCATGTAGTAACCAAAAAAGTGTTAAACAAATCAAAATATATTTGAGATTCTTCAAATAGCCACCCTTTGCCTTGATGACTGCTTTGAACACTCTTGGCACTCTCTCAACCAGCTCATGAGGTAGTCACCTGGAATGCATTTCAATTAACAGGTGTGCCTTCTTGAAAGTTAATTTGTGGAATTCATTTCCTTCTTAATGCGTATCAGACAATCAGTTGTGTTGTGACAAGGTAGGGGGGGTCGGGGGTTATACAGAAGATAGCCCTATTTGGTAAAAGTCCAAGAGTCTATGACATAACATTTGCATATACAGAAATTCTGTGCCAAACATAAAGGACATTCAAAATAAAATTGATGTGTATGGCAATGATATGCCACATCACACTTATAACAGGAACTGATAGCTAGCTGTTCGTGGAGTGACAGACTAAAATAGAAGGCCTCGAAATGACTGTAAGTTGTGTTCGTCAGCTACTACAGAGAGAGGGAAACAGAAGTAAGGTCAGGGGTCAGAGGTAGTTGAGCCAATCAGAGAGGAATCTACAGTGCATTCGGAAGGTATTCAGACCCATTCCCTTTTTCCACATTTTGTTACGTTACAGCCTTATTCTAAAATTTATTAGAACTCAGTTCATAACACCGGCTACTGTCTGGCTTTATAGTTGTTGTTGTGTATAGTTTTTTTTATAGTTGTTTTCCCCCGTATTTGTTTATTCACAGAAATGTTCAAATGATGAGGATAATGAAATAATTGGATGGCTTTATTTTATTTCTTGAGCTTGCTATCTGGCACAATATTGTTCGTAGTGGGTATATTGGAATGAAGGCACTATATTGTTCGTAGTGGGTATATTGGCAATTGGATGTGTTTGTGTCATTGGCTATTGGATGTGTTTGTGTCATTGGCTATTGGATGTGTTTGTGTCATTGGCTATTGGATGTGTTTGTGTCATTGGCTATTGGATGTGTTTGTGTCATTGGCTATTGGATGTGTGTGTGTCATTGGCTATTGGATGTGTGTGTGTCATTGGCTATTGGATGTGTGTGTGTCATTGGCTATTGGATGTGTTTGTGTCATTGGCTATTGGATGTGTTTGTGTCATTGGCTATTGGATGTGTGTGTGTCATTGGCTATTGGATGTGTTTGTGTCATTGGCTATTGGATGTGTTTGTGTCATTGGCTATTGGATGTGTTTGTGTCATTGGCTATTGGATGTGTGTGTGTCAAGCAGTTTTGGGCTGAAAATGGTATTTTGCTCTGTCAGAAGAAACTGAGAACAGTGTCTGTCTGCATCATGTAGGAATGGGGGCCATAGATACACTTTTTATATGGCACTGTGCTATGGAACACCATGTCCTGGACAAACACGCATTGTAATCAGACATAGAGCAGTATAACCCCATTTAAAAGGACCCTTTCAGACCAGCCTTCAAACAAACGAGTCAAAGTGAGTGTCAGTATCTTCTCCATGCACAATGCCCCATTGAACCGGCTCCAAGTTTAGAGTCGAGTAGCTGACTAAACTCCACTCCATGGTGAAGGACATTTCTGATGAACTCCACCAACGGATTTGAGCAGAGACCAGGCTTTGTGGAATTCAGCTCCAACTACATCAATTCTCCCAAGGTCAATACTTCAAAAAATAATAATTATGAAACGCTTACCTTGTACCTGTTTGTCCTCTGTAGTTGCGTGCCTGTCTTTGTTCAACCAGTTTTTGCCCAGTGTGTTGGTGGTTGTTTTTCATTAACGTTTATTGAAAAAGTATGGATTTCAACAAACAAAGAACGGTATGCAACTACAGAAGGACAAACATAGGTACAAGGTAACATTTGACAGACACTCTTATCCAGAGCGACTTACACAAACAATTAGAGTTAAGTGCCTTGCTCACGAGCACATCAACAGATTTTTCACCTATTAGGCTCAGGATTAAAACCAGCAACCTTACGGCTACTGGCCCAACGCTCTTAACCGCTAGGCTACCTGCCACCCCAACACATAGGTAGGATAGGGGGTGGCTCTCATTTCCTTTACACTGACACAGTCTCTGCTGCTGCCTCTGCTGCTGTCTCTGCTGCTGCCTCTGCTGCTGCCTCTGCTGCTGCCTCTGCTGCTGTCTCTGCTGCTGCCTCTGCTGCTGCCTCTGCTGCTGTCTCTGCTGCTGCCTCTGCTCCTGTCTCTGCTGCTTCCTCTGCTGCTGCTGTCTCTGCTGCTGCCTCTGCTGCTGTCTCTGCTGCTGCCTCTGCTGCTGCCTCTGCTGCTGTCTCTGCTGCTGCCTCTTCTGCTGTCTCTGCTGCTGTCTCTGCTGCTGTCTCTGCTTCTTCCTCAGCCTCTGTCTCTGCTGCTGTCTCTGCTGCTGTCTCTGCTGCTGCCTCTGCTGCTGTCTCTGCTGCTGCCTCTGCTGCTGCCTCTGCTGCTGTCTCTGCTGCTGTCTCTGCTGCTGCCTCTGCTGCTGTCTCTTCTGCTGCTGTCTCTGATGCTGCCTCAGCTCTCAACCTCTCCTCCTTCTCCTCCAGGAAAGTGTTGTACTCCTCTGCCGATAACTTGTTGACGATCTCAATGCCCAACGAGCGAGCCGAGCCGATGATGCTCTTGACGACCATCTCTAGGGAAGCGTTCTGCTTCTTGAAGGCTTGTCCGGGGCCTTGACCTGAGCGATCTCATACACAGTCTTCACAGACACCATCCCAGCTGTCTCATGGCCTGTTTTTCTGGCCCCTCTCTGGATGCCAGCCGCCTGCTTGAGGAAGTAAGACATTTCCTGTCAGGCTTAACGTGGATCTTGATGGGCAGAGGGATTCCTTCCTTGAGCTCTTTGGTCTTCTCGTTGAAGTCCTTGCAGTACTGGCCGATGGGGATGCCCTTCTGTCCCTGGACAGGGCCGAGAGGGAGTCCAGGGGCGGCCTGACCGGATCTCACTATGGCCCGGATCAGCTTAGTCAGCTAAGAGTCGAGCCGATTGCAGAAAAATAACACGGAGAGGTAAAAATCTCTGAGCGAGAGACAACGGCAAAAAAAGAGCAGTCATCCTAGAAGGCTGACATAACACCAGGGACAGAGGCTATCACGACCCTTGTCACCGTCTGACAAAGCAAGGGGGCAACAGATCCATGGATCCCTAAATGGGGGCATTCAGAGGGCTGTCTGCGGCCTGTCATCGGTGCCTCCTGCCCGGGAACCTCGGGGAACAAAGCACCCTGTTCAGGTGCTGGGTCACTGGGATGACAGCACGGTGATGTCCACTGTCCTAATGTCATCGGTCAGCCAGCCAGTTCCTACCTACCTGATCAACCTCAGACCTTGAAACTGTTACATAGCAGAATTGAAGTGAGCACAAAGTATGAACGTATGAGACTGCCATGTTGATAATAAAAAGATGTGTTCTCAGGGCCTCTTTGAAACATGTCAGCAAAGCATTGAATCCAGGGCCCATATTCATAAAGCAAGAAGAAGTGCTGATCTAGAATCAGTTTTGCCTTTTTAGATTATATAATGAATGGATAGGGGGACCTTATAATCAGCACTCACATAATGAATGGATAGGGGGACCTTATAATCAGCACTCACATAATGAATGGATAGGGGGACCTTATAATCAGCACTCACATAATGAATGGATAGGGGGACCTTATAATCAGCACTCACATAATGAATGGATAGGGGGACCTTATAATCAGCACTCACATAATGAATGGATAGGGGGACCTTATAATCAGCACTCACATAATGAATGGATAGGGGGACCTGATCTTATAATCAGCACTCACATAATGAATGGATAGGGGGACCTTATAATCAGCACTCACATAATGAATGGATAGGGGGACCTTAGATCAGCACTCACACGCTGCGCTTTATGAATATGATATGCTCTAAGGAAGGACATTATATAAATCGGCATCAGAATCCAAATGTTCTATTGTTCAACACATGCAAGTCTAATGCCGGATCTGCCGGATCTGCCGGATCTGCTGCCTGCTATTTTCTTATCCTTCGTTTGATTAGCAGACCTTTCATTTTTACGAAAAGGAGACTCCTTTTTTTATTGAGTTTGATCCGTGATGGATTTGATCTGAGATTGATTTGAGAGATTAGTCGTTGTTGGTATTTGTGCATATCTGTCCACCTTCATTATTGATCCCCGCGTTGTTTACGTCAACGTGCATGTAGCCTATCGAGCAGTCTTGGGTGAAAGGCTGGAGACAGTTAATGTTGAGCAGTTCTGAAGGGGTGAGGCAGCTCAACACTGCTGATATGGAGTACAGGGTGATGGCTGCTCACTCACTGGTACCAGTGCCTATTGCTTCTCCAGGCGGCTTGGTTCACGTTCACTCAGTTCTTTTTCAAATCAAATCAAATCAATGTTTATTTGTCACACGCGCCGAATACAACAGGTGTAGACCTTACCGTGAAATGCTTACTTACAAGCCCTTAACCAACATTGCAGTTCAAGAAATAGAGTTCAGAAAATATTTACTAAATAAACTAAAGTAAAAAATAAAAATAAAAAGTAACACAAGAAAATTACATAACAATAGCGAGGCTATATACAGGGGGTACCGGTACCATGTCAATGTGCAGGGGTACAGGTTAGTCGAGGTAATTTGTAAAGTGACTATGCATAGATAATAAACAGCGAGTAGCAGCAGTGTAAAAACAAATGTAAATAGGCCATTTGATTAATTCTTCAGCAGTCTTATGGCTTGGGGGTAGAAGCTGTTAAGGAGCCTTTTGGTCATAGACTTGGCGCTCAGGTGCCGCTTGCCGTGTGGTAGCAGAGAGAACAATCTATGACTTGGGTGACTGGAGTCTTTGACCATTTTTTGGGCCTTCCTCTGACACCGCCTAGTATAGAGGTCCTGGATGGCAGGAAGCTTGGCCCCAGTGATGTACTGGGCCGTACGTATTACCCTCTGTAGCGCCTTAATGTCAGATGCCGAGCAGTTGCCATACCAGGTGGTGATGCAACTGGTCAGGATGCTCTCGATGGTGCAGCTGTATAACTTTTTGAGGATCTGGGGACCCATGCCAAATCTTTTCAGTCTCCTGAGGGGGAAAAGGTGATGTTGTGCCCTCTTCACAACTGTCTTGGTGTGTTTGGACCATGATAGTTTGTTAGTGATGTGGACACCCAGGAACTTGAAACTCTCGACCCGCTCCACTTCAGCCCCGTCAATGTTAATTGGGGACTGTTCGGCCCTCCTTTTCCTATAGTCCACGATCAGCTCCTTTGTCTTGCTCACATTGAGGGAGAGGTTGTTGTCCTGGCATCACACTGCCAGGTCTCTGACCTCCTCCCTATAGGCTGTCTCATCGTTGTCGATGATCAGGTCTGCCACTGTTGTGTCATCAGCAAACTTAATGATGGTGTTGGAGTCTTGCTTGGCCACGCAGTCATGGGTGAACAGGGAGTACAGGAGGGGACTAAGCACGCACTCCTGAGGGGCCCCAGTGTCACGACATCCGCCGAGGCTGCCTCCCCTCCTTGTTCGGGCAGGCTTCGGCGTTCATCGTCACCGGCTTACTAGCCACTGCCGCTCCATATCTCATCATTACATTTGTCTTGTCAATTACACACACCTGGTTCATATCCCCTCATTAGTCTGTGTATAAGTGTTCCCTCTGCCCCCTTGTCCTTGTGGGTGATTGTTTATTGTGAGAGTAGTGGAGCTACTCGTACCTTGTATTGCCAGGGTAGATAGTTTCCCCTGTGCCTGTTTTCTGTTGTCGCTATCCAGCGCAATTGTGTACGACGGAATAAACTCTGTATTCGGTGATTTACATTTTAGTCATTTAGCAGACGCTCTTATCCAGAGCGACTTACAGTTAGTGAATACATTTTTTTTTTTTTTTATACTGGCCCCCCGTGGGAATCAAACCCACAACCCTGGCGTTGCAAACACCATGCTCTATCAACTGAGCTACATCCCTGACGGCCAATTCCCTCCCCTACCCTGGACGACACTGGGCCAATTGTGCCCCGCCCCATGGGTCTCCCGGTCGCAGCCGGCTGCAACAGAGCCTGGATTCGAACCAGGATCTCTAGTGGCACAGTTAGCACTGCGATGCAGTGCCTTAGACCACTGCGCCACTCGGGAGACATTTACCCTCCTGTGCCTGACTCCTTCTATCACACTCATCACACCCAGTGTTGAGGATCAGCGTGGCAGATGTGTTGTTGCCTACCCTTACCACCTGGGGACGGCCCATCAGGAAGTCCAGGATCCAGTTGCAGAGGGAGGAGTTTAGTCCCAGGGTCCTTCAATCAAAAGGTGTGTCAGCCCAGGAAGTGAACTTAATTGCAGTCAATACACAACTTCAAAACGCAGAAAACGTGCCCATGGCACAAAGGTTGGTGTGCCAATCATAGCTGGTTTTTAATTAATGAATGTAACCTGACCAGACTGCTATTGTTGAGACCTATTCTCTGTAAAAAGGTTCACCAAGCTTCACCCAGTTCTTCAACCATAAGTTATTTGCAAAACAAATGTGTCAACATGCCCCAGGCACAATGGTTGGGATGTTAATCCAAGTTGCCATCATTCAACAATGTCAACGAACCAAATATTACATTATTGAGTGTGTGTGCATACCATACATCTTCTATGGAAGAAGTTCAACAAGCTTCACCAGCATTCCTCTAAGGTCAAAGCGTGGGTAAAATCACTGGGGAAGCCAAGCCAGAAAAAAATGTGTTTTGTTTGCTATCCTGTTGTCTGCTGAGTCACGGTTAAGTAATTATACCACACCAGGCACCCTACGAATGGGGTGAAAATCAATCCCTATTCCTTATATAATAGTGCACTACTTTTGACCAAGGGCTTACGTAGGGCTTTTTGTCAAAAGTAGTGCACTATAAAGTGAATAGGATCCTATTTGAGGCATCCTAAGACTAGCAAAGGATCTGTAATTTTTAATTTAAGTTCACCCACCATATAACCAGTTGTTATTGATAAGCTAGGTTGAGGAATGATCAAATGTTTTAATGTGTGATTTAATTATCAAACTTGTCCAAACTCCTACAACACGGCAATGACATACAGATACATGCTTTCATGTCAAAACATTGTAAGCATTTCTGTATGGTTGGCAGTCTTTTACATATTCATATGAAAAAGATTTATGCGTCGCTCTGGATAAGAGCGTCTGCTAAATGACTAAAATGTCAATGTAATGTAAAATGTTTGCTCTATAACCTGTTAGTTCATATGCCTTGACACCGTGATATATACAGTGCTATGAAAAAGTATTTGCCCCCTTTTCTATTTTTCTCTACTTTTGCATATTTGTGATACTGAATGTTATCAGATCTTCAACCAAAACCTAATATTAGATAAAGGGAACATAAGTGAACAAATAACACAACAATTACATATTTATTTCATAAACAAAGTTATGCAACACCCAATTCCCCTGTGTGAAAAAGTAATTTCCCCCTTACACTCAATAACTGGTTGTGCCACCTTTCCCTGCAATGACTGCAACCAAATGCTTCCTGTAGTTGTTGATCAGTCTCTCACGTCGAAAACCAAACACTGCATTCCACAGTAAGAACATCATACCAAAGGTCAAGCATGGTGGTGCTGGTGTGATGGTTTGGGGATGCTTTTCTGCCTCAGGACCTGGACGACTTGCCTTAATAGAAGGAACCATGAATTATGCTCTGTATCAGAGAATTCTACAGGAGAATGTCAGACCTTAAAATAAATAAATATTATTTGGAAAGAATATCTACCAAATAACTTGTATACAGGGAGTGACCAGGATATCTGGTCACAATGCAGACTCAGTGGACAGATATGAGACATATTTTACTACCACGTGTAGATGGTCTGCAGTCTGCAGGTTTTCCGTCTTTCCTTTTCAAAACTAGGCCTGAGAAACCATAGGGCGTGGACTCCCACCTAGACAATCAATAACATCAGTTGATCCACGAATTGTAACGGGTGAAACTTGACTAGAGTTTTCAACCATAGACATCAATGTATGATTGGGCTCCCGAGTGGCGCAGCGGTCTAAGGCGCTGCGTCTCCAGTGCTTGAGGCGTCACTACAGACCCCCCCTGGTTCGATTCCAGGCTGTATCACAACCGGCCGCGATTGTGAGTCCCATAGGGGCGGCGCACAATTGGCCCAGCGTCGTCCGGGTTTGGCCGGTGTAGGCCGTGATTGTAAATAAGAATTTGTTCTTAACTGACTTGCCTAGTTAAATAAAATACAAAATACAATGGCTACAGTGTGGGCAGAATGTGTATAAGATCAGGACAAATGACTCATGTTAGCACCAGGTGTAAACAAGGCTTTAGACATGTGGTTTAAAGCTGTACCAGGATCAGTGTAACCTATCCTTTCATCTTCTATGTTAGCGACGGACAATGGATTTCCTACTGAGCACGTTTTACTCAGTTACAGGATGATGTATGCTTTCTCTGACAGTGTTGTGTCATATATACACTACGCTGAACACACATATTAAACGCAACATGTAAAGCGTTTGTCCCATGTTTCATGAGCTGAAATCAAAGATTCCAGAACATTTTCCATACGCACAGAAAGCTTATTCCTCTCAAATGTTGTGCACAAATTTGTTTAGATTTATGTTAGTGAGCATTTCTCCTTTGCCAAGATAATCCATCCATCCACCTGACAGGTGTGGCTTATCAAGAAGCTGATTAAACAGCATGATCATTACACAGGTGCACCTTGTGCTGGGGACAATAAAATGCCACTCTAAGATGTCCAGTTTTGTCACACAACACAGTGCCACAGATGTCTCAAGTTTTGAGGGAGCGTGCAATTGGCATGCTGACTGCAGGAATGTCCAACAGAGCTGCTGCCAGAGAATTGAATGTTCAATTCTCTACCATTCTCTCCAAGGTCGTTTTGAGAATTTGGTCGAATGTCCAACCGGCCTCACAACCGCAGACCACATGTAACCATGTCAGCCCAGGTCCTCCACATCTGGCTTCTTCACCTGCGGGATCGTCTGAGACCAGCCACCCGGACAGCTGATGAAACTGCAGAGTATTTCTGTCTGTAATAAATCCCTTTTGTGGGGAAAAACTCATTCTGATTGGTTGGGTCTGGCTCCACCATGTGTGGGCCTGGCTCGCAAGTGGATGGGCCTATGCCCTCCCAGGCCCACCCATGGCTGTGCCCCTGCCAAGTCAAGTGAAATCCATAGATTAGGGGCTAATTTATTTATTTAAATTGACTGATTTCTTTTTATGAACTGTAACTCAGTAAAAATTGTTGAAATTGTTGCATGCTGCGTTTGGATTTTTGTTCAGTATAATTACATACTCAAAGGACTAAGTGAACAGCCCTTTTGAGCAACAACTTCATTCCTGGTTGAAACTCCAGCAACCTCACTCATTTCTGTGTATCTAACTGGAAGATATAAATATGTCCCATAGTTTTCCATAGTTGATAGGCCATTGGATGGAGGCTGCATTGAAGAAGACAAACTTTGGTTTTGCCTGAGTTGTCCATCTTTAGTTATTCTAACGCCAAACCAAAGATGTTAGTGGCCCCTGCTGAAATTAATGGGCACTGTCGTCTTCTGCAATAAAATATGATGCATCGCAATGTTGCTTATATTAGCTACTTTTCCTGTTTGGAATCATTATCACAAGATGTATTTATTTAATGTAATTCGGTTGATATGTTGATATGCTTCAGTTTGCTGCCATGTGACTCGTTTCACATTTGTCGGTGGAGATATGAGTCATATGGCAGCAAACTGAAGCATATCAACATATCAACTTTTCCACAGTAAAGTTTATGAAATGCTGTGTCATTATGCAGAATTTAAATTGTACGGACTTTTAACTTGCAGGGATAGATACTTCTCGAATGTCTTAATTATAGGCTACCTCGACTTTCTCTGTTCCCTATTTCTATCATGTTAAATATTAGCCACTATCAGTATCGACCGTCAGTAGGTGTTTGAATGTTAAATAACGAGGCAGAGGCATTGATGCGAGTAACCAGTCTTGTTCAGTATATTGCAATACATCCGGGTATCTCAAGTACCCCGGTAAAACACTGGAGTTGCAGTAATGAACATTTACCAACAGATGGCATCAATGTGCCATCTTCCACCCATAACAGTAGGCCTAATAACCACACATTACCACACTCAACTGCCAATTTACTGTTAGTTCCCTTTAGCTGGTATAGCCTACATTATCATTCAATTTAATTACATTGTTTCGTTTCCCTTCATGTGGTTCCTCTGTAAACGCGTCACGGCCGTGTGGTTGTGGCTGACGAGCATTAGTAACAGTTGATAATATATATTTAAAAAATACCTATAGGGTAATTAGATCGACCAAGCGGTAACAGTTTGAACCCGACGCATGGCGCAATACTTGGCCGGTGTCATCACACAGTTCCATGGTTAGTGCAGGCAATAGACGAGGGTGTAGCCTACTATTGGACACTATTCTCCCTATTATAATTATATGGACACTAATCTTCCAACATTGCCATGGGTTGAAGAACTGAATGTGGCAATTTTCAGAATGAATCAAACCACCGTTTTCTTTCTTTCGAGTTTAAAGGCTATCCAAACCTGTTTTTATGATTCATAAATACTTTCCTTAACCTAAATAATCTACAAGATCTGAGTATTTTTAAATGTACCAATTGGTGCTGAAACGGAGACGATTATGCATGTATTTAGATGGATTTCTTTAATTGATCCCTAATATTCTGAACCCGTTCTCTCAATATATTCTAGTGAGTCTGTCGACAAAATTCAAACTACAAGAAGGTAAACCATATTTGAAGGGATGGCTTAAGATAACAGTTTGAACCCGACGCATGGCGCAATACTTGGCGCAATAAATGTACCCTATTGAATGAAAACTCCAATAGAAAATTGACTGCTGAAAACCCTCCCACTCGCTGATTTTCGTGTGGAGTTTGCATTCATTGAACAATCTACCCTAATCCTCACTAATCATGGAACTGTATGACAACGGTCCAGTTGCCATGAACCGTTCACCAGGCTCCAGGTTTAAACTGCTACGTGTGGTCTGAGTTCCATAATGATTCAAATAGGCTACATGTCCCACGTTATTGCATAACGTTAGGCTAATATTTACATTTTTTACATGTACATTTTAGTCATTTAGCAGACGCTCTTATCCAGAACGACTTACAGTTAGTGAGTGCATACATTTTTCATACTGTATATGATCCACTATTGCTAGCAGCCCTCACGAACAACTACACGGATGTGCCAGTAAAGAAAGGGAGGTAACTAACACTAGTGACAGTTATAAATGTATGCAGGTATTACTGACGGTGGCACCCAATAGTATTCAATATTCAACATGGTAATATTCAACAAAATTGTAAAATATAACTGAGAAAAGCTGGGTCATACAATCAAAATTCTGAATAATGGCACAGCTATTTATAGCCTAGTTTCACTGTGGAAAAGGGGCTGCAATACATGTCATGTTAATATGATTTTCAGTTTACTTCCATATGACTGGTTTCACATTTGTCTCCCGGGATCATAAGTCAAAAATAATTTTAAACAATTGCTATGTGTATTTACAATCTCCTTCTCCAAACGGATTACTCATTTACCTAGTTCTTATCAATAGCTCTTCAAATTAATAAATTACAGTTCATGGAGATTACATCGGAAAAGATCAAGTAGATGTTTTTCCCACTTGAAACCGGCAGGTTTGCTCGACCTTATTCATGGTTCCTCGCGGGTAAAGGTGGTGGAATTATAAGGGAATTAAATCAAAGTCAGAATATGGTTCATCTGTACACACCTCCTTCACACCTTCATTTCTTAAAACTCCACCCCAAATCAATTACAGGTGAATAGCATGCTATTCTCGTGCTTAAATTCAAAGTCAGAATACACCTAGAGAGAAAAGTCCATAAATAGAGAAAAGTCCATAAATAGGGAAGTAAGTTTCATTTACGTGTGTTTAACTTAGGTCAGATTTCCCCCCATAGTTATTAAATGCAAAAAATATTATTAGCAATGTCACATAAACCTAAATCCAAGTTCCTTCAAAAATACTGCACGAATTTGCAGACCCAGGCTACGGAGCCTCAGAATTTAACTGCTGCCAGATCCGGGACTACTCCCCATTAGGAAACCATGCACTGGTTAAAAATTAAGTTTAAACAGATATTTCCAGGACTCTAAAGTCTAATATACAGCTTGTTTGAAGTATGCCCTGCTCTGTATGAATAGCATAATGAGACTGCCACCTTGTGGAGAGATTAATCAATAACCAGGCATGGACAGGTTAATCAATAATCAGTTTAGTGGTGTTAAATCTAGTTTCGTGTATATTACGAAAGGTGTACTGCAGCGGTCGCTATTGGTTACCTGTTCTCTTTACTATTTATATAAATAACACTGGTCTATCTGTTCAAACTTGTAATATTCATCTGTATGCAGACGACACTGTTATGTATGCCATTGCCCCAACTGTAGCGCAGACGTTGTTAAAGCTGCAACATTACTTTGTTGCTTTGCAAAAAGCCCTGGTTGGTTGAAAACTTTTTCGATACCGACGCAACGCAATTAATTAATGGAATTATTTTGTTCTATAAAGTGTCTCGCAACTGGCGAGGAGATATCCTGACGTCTAACAGTACATTTACTTTCTCCAAGGACTACATTCAAGGCGCAGGATGTTTTTCCAATATTAATCTCATTGCAATGTTACAGTGTTCTTGCAATAACATTCTTGACCACGCGATGTTGAGTCTCTGGGTTTAGAAACTCTGTGGTTACATATGGAGGTATATTAATGACATCATTATTATAAAAGAATGTAAAGTATGATTTGCACACCTACAATATGAGTTGCACCTGTATAATGAGTTCTGTAGTTTATATTTTTTTGGGCAAACATTTAACTTCTTTTGCAAATAAATGCAACAACACTTGCAAACATGTAAGTTGATATGTGAATACCTTCGATAAGATTTGCAAGTATGCAACTACATTTGAGAATGAACGCAACTCATTTACTTAACTTGCGACTGGTGACTCTTCTGTGAATCAAAGTTATACTGAACAAAAATATAAAAGCAACATCAAATATCAAATCAAAACATGCAACAATTTCAAAGAATTTACTGAGTTACAGTTCATATAAGGAAATCAGTCAATTGAAATTAATTCATTAGGCCCTAATCTATGGACTGGGCAGGGGTGTAGCAATGGGTGGGCCTTGGAGGGCAAAAGCCCATCCACTTGGCAGCCAGGCCCAGCCACTAGGGAGCCAGGCCCAGCCAATCAGAATTTGTTTTTTCCCCACAAAATTGCTTTATTACCCCCACGATCCCGCAGGTGAAGAAGCTGGATGTGGAGGTCCTGGGTTGGCGTGGTTACACGTGGTCTGTGGTTGTGAGGCCGGTTGGACCTACTACCAAATTCTCTAAAACGACATTGAAGGTATTGTGTTGTGTGACAAAACTGCACATTTTAGAGTGGCCTTTTACTGTCACCAGCACAAGGTGCACCTGTGTAATTATCATGCTGTTTAATCAGCTTCTTGATATGCCACACCTGTCAGGTGGATGAATTATCTTGGCAAAGGAGAAATGCTCACTAACAGGGATGTAAACAAATTTGTGCACAAAATTTGAGAGAAATAAGCTTTTTGTACGTATGGAAAATTTCTGGGATTTTTAAATTCAGCTCATGAAACATAGGACCAACACTTTACATGTTGCGTTTATATTTTTGTTTAGTATATATTTGCCCATGTGGAATTTGTGCGCTCAGAATTTTGCGACTAAACTGTGCCAAAAGTTTAGCAGTTGTAAAAAAAATAATACTCTGCAAGCAAGCAGCACAGAATAACACGAGCTCTGGTGGACAGAGCTTTTTCTTCTGACCAATCAGGTGAGTTGTTGTCATTCTGGAACATGCAGGGCATGTGTTTCACCCAGTGTTGCCAACTTAGCAACTTTGTCGCTATATTTAGCGAGTATTCAGACCCCTCTAGCGACACATTTTCAAAAAATCGACTAGCGACAAATCTAGCGACTTTTTCTGGTGTTATTGGAGACTTTTGGAGACTCTGACGTGAAAGCACGTATCGTTCTTACTCTTCTCAACGAGCAGCGGGTGCTGCCGTGGGCCCCACCCCCGTCCCAAAGCACTCACAGGCGGCCCAGTCCTTGCGCAGCAGTCCCTCCCAGCTGCAGTCAGAGCAGGAGATGTTCACCCCTCCACGTCCAGAGTGCAAATGAATCGCGCATGCGGGAAGCTGCCGCTGGCTGATCCCGCCCTGGCTTACATTCAGGGTGGGATGTACAGTGAGGGAAAAAAGTATTTGATCCCCTGCTGATTTTGTACGTTTGCCCACTGACAAAGACATGATCAGTCTATAATTTTAATGGTAGGTTTATTTGAACAGTGAGAGACAGAATAACAAAAAAAAAATCCAGAAAAACGCATAACAAAAATGTTATGAATTTATTTGCATTTTAAT